TAGAACTAWATGGGGTGAAGTTTTTCAGACRYTGCAGTTAACTATATCTAGATCAGRTGAGAGGGTGTACAGAGCTTTAAAAAGGCCTCTGTGATTCAGGGTGTTCACTGCCATGTGTGATGCCTGTGTGTATCTTACTCAGGACCTGCAACATAACTGTCAGCCCCTGTCAGTGAGTGTTTCAAACAGCAGCTTCAACCACCACTGGCTGCCTGCACCTAGGCACCTGAATTGCTTTCAGAAGTGGAAGAACTTGATTTAGAAACTAGTGTGTAAAACTCTGTGACCCAGTTTTAGCAGGAAGACTGATGTAGATTAYGACTTTCTGCTACGCCCCACTATGACTGTGGTGCCGATAGATAATGCTTACATGTGAGCAGTTCTGCTCTTCTCAGTACTAGTCCAAGAAAGCTCTAGGCAAGCTCATTGTACCACATTACCAGAACCCTGCAAAACATTAAACCCTGGAGAACAGTCTGCTTAGTGTTTCACTGGGAGAGGATCAARTGACTTCTATCACTTGTGAACCAGCTGACCACGCTCACCCTTTGTTCTGTGTCCACTTCCTTCTTTGAAAGCATTTTCCAGAGCTTTGACTGCRTCCTGTGCAGCTCTGCTGACTGAGCTCAAGTTCTTGGACATCATTGTGTCAGGTCTGTGGCCTGTCATGAGCTGACAGCGTGTTTTTGCAAGGCTTTGAGGGTGTGGAGGATGTGAATTTCGATATCATTGGGAGTGCAATAGTCACACTTGCTGTAGGATGAAGATAGAAGGCAGTATTTCCAGCTGCAATCAAAGAGCAGGTTTTTGCTGGAATGAAGTTTATCGTATTTGCAGTGGATCTATCCTGGAGCAGTTGTGGTTTCTGAYAGTAGTTTAAGATACTGCAAGATACAGAGGCTTCCCAAGTAGCAGCTGTATGTTTTGTGAAGCAAGTGCCATGCAGCTTTATTACTTAGCAGTTTCCTGAATTTTTTTTGGAGTAATTCTTTTGACCGARTGCACATCTTTCTCATCTGTTTGCTTTTAAACATTGACCAGAAAGCCCAGTGTTCTTCAAAYTGATCGTGTAGTTCTAGTGCCCACAAGTGATCAGACTGCCACCAGTCAGACCTTTGCTCTTACATGCCAAAATGAATTGCCATATGGAAAATACCTAGGAACTCCATTAGCATRAGATAAAATCTTAATATTGCTGCTTTTTGTGCCTGAGTTAGTGGTTGTGTAGTATCACCACAGTACCGTGCTTTCAGAACTTGATTCTTTGTTATATTCCTCACATCAGRAGAGAAGCACATGAAAACTGTAAATAGTGTGTTCATTTGCCTTTAATTATGTGTTGTGGCAGTTCTAGACTAGTGAGGCTGGGGTATGCAGTGTCAGGTTTAACTTGCAAATTTAGTTTTCTGAATATCCACCTCAGAAATATGAATTCGGGAAGCAGATGTATTCTGGATGTGGAAGGTACTGTTCTGTTGAACTAATTCAAGTGTAACTGTTGTCACTCTTGCTCCAGWGGTTACTGTTGCAGAGTCAGCTTCCTGAGACAATACTAAATCACCAGTCATGCATTTCAGTATCTGATAGAACATGTGAAAATACCACAGCAGGTTGATGAGAATTATTTTATTCTCTTTTGAGAGACCAAAACATGCTGGAATATAACAGGAAATTGCACAATAAGCAGTGTCTTTCACATTTAATTTTGCCCTGCTAAAATGTTTTTAAGGACATGCTGAAACAACTTGCCAAGGTTTCTAAGCTCATGTGTTTGTCAAGAGCATGTAAACTTAGTCAGAATAAAGATACATATTTTTTTGGTTCCACATAGCTTGACTTAGAGATGCTCTATTCTTTTGGCAATTAGAGAAGTGAAATACCTGGTACTAACAGAGTCTAGGACAGTAGGTAGGGGCTGTGACTTGCCCAAGAGAAGATAGCTTCAATTCTAAGGGAAAAGTAAAGTTTTTAGAAAAGTCATATGCAACAATTAGAGTAAGAACGCCTTCCCAACCTGTACACACACTCACTGCTTTTCTTCATGAATGCTGTCCAAATAACATGAGCTACAGAATTTTTCTTTTAACACTCTAGAAGCACCCAACACCTCAGGGCTGGTCAAGTGCAATACTCTGGTKTCCAAGCTGCTTTAAACTTGATGTGAAGAAGGTCAGTCAAAATTTGGAGTATCAGAGTGAGAGTGTATTTCCTCTACATTCTAGGATATTTAGAAGCCTCCAGAACATGGAGTACCTTTTATTCTTCCCATTTTCAGAGTTCCTGAATTGGACGTTTTGAAGTAATATTGAAAATAGGACAAAATTAGTAATCGATCGGGTCTAAAAAGTAGTATTTTATAGAAAAACAAACACTAAATTCAAATGCAAGTTTAAGCTTAGCTGCCATAGGATCAACACCATAAATTAYAAGTCCCTGGATCTATGCTGCTTGTGAGAACTATAAAATTGTGAGAACTATAAAATGCAGATTCCTAAATTCATTKAAGACTGCTGTCTCAGTCCTACATGAATTGGGACTCCTTCAGTGCTCTCTAGAAAATGTGTTTACATTCTCCACAGACCCATTCTCATTCCCTCTGCTTCTGTATCACAGCTAAATTCTTATTCTCTCGAATTATCTTGGCAATTTCCAGTCTCTGATGCCCTTCCACTTTGCTTCTGGCAATACTCTCATGTTGTTGCTTACATCTTGTTCAATAATGTCAAGAACACTGTGTAACTTTTCAGGGCAAAAATAGACTGGAATGAAGATCTAAGAGCTCTGAACAAAGAAGAAAGGTATAAAATATTTACAAAAGGATAATATTGACATTACTGAATATTATCACAGCAACATGATCTTGCTTTAACAGGTTGGTTTTTTTGGGGGGATGTTTTTTGTTTTTGTTTTTTCTTTTCTTTAATAAAACAACAAACATAGCACTGCAGCATTTCCAGACTCTTTTGAAGCCTTTCATGCAGAGCCCCATCAAACCAACCAAGCTGGAAGTGCTATGATTTGGTASTGGAATAGAAGCTAAAGAAGAGATGCATGAAAAGGAAAGACCTGTGGGAGGAAGGCATCATGCTGTAGCCCTGAGATGTGACTATAAGGTTGATCTTGATGTGAAAAGTCACAYTCCTGAAGGCTGACCCAAGGCTGTGTTCTGCAGTCAGTGACTGACTTCCCTGCCAGCAGTATTAAAACACTTTAACATGAAGCACAAACCCATGMATTTGAAGCATAAAAGGTTAGTATAGGGGTTGTGTGAAAGAGCTATAATAATGAATCGAATGCTGGTGATGGACGGGATTAAAACATGACCCTGCAAGTGCGGTTCCTTGATGTGTCACCAGAGGGGCTCCTAAGGCAGAACGAGGAACTGCACTGCTCGGCCATCACCACTGTAAGAGAACAGACAGTCCTGTGAGGGGATGGACTAGAAACAACTCAATCATCTTTACAGTATTAGTAAACTCAGCTAAGGAACGACTGAATGACAGCATCAGCTCCCCTTATATAGCAGCAACAAAGCTGGGGTTTCACTAACTGCTGGAAAGCAAAGATGAAAGTAAAATCCATCAATTGCACTGCCCTTGGTCTAGAATCCAAACACCTGAAAGMAGGTCAGGTTTTACGTTTGCACTGACAACTCTGAAATCTGATGCCAAGCACATACTTTTGCATTCCTGTAATAATGACATTACAAAATAAATTAGAAATTATTAAACTGGGCCGAAACAAATTAGGTGTGGTAATCCAGCATTTAGAAGAATATATAGTGAACACTTCTTATCCAATGATTATGACTGTGGAAAGGAGTGAGGGAATTACAAAACCAGCTAATAAATTAAAAAATCAACTGAAATTGATGTAGTAACTCCAAAGATTTAATTTTATTTATTCATCTGTACAGCAGAAGTAAGACAATCCCAGTAACAGAGTTGCACTTGATTTAATTTCTACAAAGGAATTACAGTGCTGTGAAAGAATTGTTTCCATAACTCTTCAAGTCAAATCCAGTAATATTCCTCAAACAATACAATTAAGAAAAATTACAAAAAATTACTTCAAATCACCCTATCTCCCCCCACCCTCAAAACTCAGTAAAAAAATGAAACAACCCTTGTTTCACCCTTTTCAGGGGAGTAGCTGGTGCTCGTAAAATGAAAAATGACTCATTAGCCATGGTTTGCTAGAGTTTGCTGTGCCTTGGAATCAAGTTTATCTATTCTACGTGAAAAAGGAAAAAAAAAAAGCCCCATTAACAGCCACTTTAACATTGCATATCAGAATAAGCTACTGCTTAACAAAATAATCTGTTCCAGAGTAGTTACATTTTCCCTGATGTGCTGTTCACCAGCCCCTGACAGACGGATGTTCCCACTGTGACCTTCCTCACCTGTCACCATTTCCCCTGTGTGCCCAGCATGAGGGACTGGTGCCAGCAGCAACTAGGATGGTCAAGCCCCACCACACCAACCCTCTTCAATGGGGACAGATCTACAAGGGAAGCCCGAGCAAGACTGAACAATCAGTCAGTGACTTAGAGAGATTCAGGCCTGTGTTGCCTGATCTTGTTCTAGTTTTCCTCACAGCAGTGTAAATCAGGAGCCCATCCATTGAAGTCAGCATCACCTTGGTGTACCTGCAGAAGGGACATGGGAGCAGCACCAGCATCCTGCACAGGACCCCAATGCATTGGGGCCTTCAGCAAAAAATCTTCTCTGAGATGCCCCAGTGCCATCAGCTGGGCTTTTGACTGACTTCTGCAGCAGGACCAAGTTCTGAAAACAGCKGTAAAAATGCCGTTTATATTCTTCTAAAATGCTATCTTATAGGTTTTCCCTTTGCTATGTCACTTTCAGTGRTTATCAAAAGCTGCTAAAATACTGCAGACAGCTTTGTAATAATAAAAACCAAGAGCCAAGTGATTGCTGCCTTCAATTTTAAAGCAAATTTTACAATTTTTTTATATTTATGATGGCACAATTACTTTTTTTTCCATTTTTATTAAATCTTCAGTTACACAAGCTAGATTAGGACATGCTAGAAAAAAAGCAGCTTTTGGAGAAAAGGGTTATGGATGGGGATCTCCAGCCTGTCCATGTTTCCTGCAGCTATTCTCCTTATACAGCCAGGTCACTGGCAAGCTAGTGACTGACATTTAAGAGTACTCATTATCACCATCTATACAATTATCTAACCACACTTCCTTTATAGCCTACTAAAAATAACTGAGTTTTTCAAAATCTGAAATTTCTTAACTAAAGTTCACATCAAACTTCAAAATAAATACAGTTTAATACAAAGTTTTAGAAAAGAACCCCTGAACTTACTTAGAATTGCACTGATGCAATTGCCTGTGCTAGCAATTAGCTATTTCAGAGAGCTGTGTGTGTACCTTAAAATAACTCAATGTGATTTTCCTTAAATCTGGTTACAAGCACTGGAAAAAGAAAATACTGTCTCTACAAAGTGCTGAGTTCCTCTTATGAAAGCCAATGTAAAAAAATCAGGATGTTTAAAAAACTTCTCAACATTTTGCAGGATAACACCCACGACAGGTTTAGAGACTGTGATCATCTTTATGAAAGAAACTCTTTCAGAAGCTGCAACAGCTGTGACAGGGTGGGTTTCCAACACTGTCTTCCCTGAAGTCTCTTTAAATGATGGCATCATGTTCATCACTGTAACAGAAACACAGTAATTAATGTTCTGCTCTACAAGCAACAGTCAACGTGAGAAAGAGACACCCAGCTGCTGCTGAGAAGGTTGTTTTGTGAGCCACTTTGCTAGGAAGGGGTAAGGGCACATTGATCTGAGAGTTACAGTCCTCTCTGAGCCAAGTTAGTTTTCATTTTGTCAACACTGCTCCAGCTTCACTGGCCTCATCTGTACCTTGTCTCTCACATTTCATTCGTGTATACTCCCTAGGCCTGTTTATCCTAGCTGCATTGCCAGCAGCAACAGGTAATCAAAGCCACTATACAAGCTCAGCAGCAGGTTCCCTTTGCTTTGAAGGGTATTGATGTGACTTTTACAATACCTATTCACAAACACTGTGGATAAACACGTGCAGCAGGGACTGGCTTAATTCCACGACCAGTAAGCAAGAGTCAAGATGGAGAAAACAAGGCTAAATAAACACCAATATCCACACAGTCTAATGCCATCACCTCATTTAAAAGAAGCTTCTTGACTGAGGTGGATAATACTGAAGAGGGAAAGAAAAGCAGCCTAGTTCTTAAACCGAATGTGGATGAGTCCTGAAGCCTGGAAGAAAACTGACTAGAGCTGAGTGTAAATAGCAAGTGAGATGGTACAATTTTGATTAGAATTCACTATAAATTAATGGCAAGGAGGAGGAAAACACCAAAGAATGAACAGACAAACAGAGTCTAGGAGAAAGGAGAAATCTTGCAAACTGCAGAAAAAGTTTCAATGAAATGTTAACTATGCATGGACTAGCAAAAAGACAAGGATCCTTAAAAAATTATTTTTAATAATAGATCAGGAAAAAAAAACTGCACAGAACACAGGCATAATACTAATGAGGAATACCTGCAGTGCTAAAAGAAAACATCAGAGTTAAATCTCTTAATGATATTAATATAATGATATTAATATAATGCACATTAAACAAATGTGTCAAAATTCATTCTGCCCATTTGTTTCTCCTTGTTCCTCTTAGGAAAGCAATGAATCGACAACAGACAATCCCTTGGGAACTTACATGGTTCTGTACTGAATGCCTCTTCTAGAGTGGTAAGTTTTGCATCCAATGTAGAGAACAACCAGGACTCCAAGAGTCAGCACAATGCCACCTACAAAACTGCCCACATCGAATCTGGAAGTTTTGGTCACAACACCCTCTGATTTTGATGTGGCTGGAAAGAAAACAAAAGGCACACTTCACAGAGCTTCCAAAATTGTGTTTTGACGGACTCCTCTACATCCTGCCCTCACCACTGACTTATCACCTGAAGACCCAATCAGACAAATTTAACAAAAATCAACTGACAAGACACAAGCCAAGCATGCTGAAACCAARGGCTCCAAGTGCCACACTCTGATGCCATGGGTGCAGCTGATCCAACTGCTTGCTGTCTCTGAGTGACTGACTGCTCCTTCTCCCCTCCCCTCCATCTGCCTTTTCTCTCCCCTGCTCACCCCTCTACAGATGAAGTTCCTGCCCTTCTTAGGCCACTTCTAATGTTTTCATATCCTCCATGAGCCAATTTAACTCACTCAGCTGGTCTGAAATGAACCCAAACATAAAAGGAAGTTGCTTTTAATCAGATGAGCATACTGTGTCAGCCTGCAAGAGGGGTTCAACAGCCACCAAGTCAGTCAGTACAGTTACACGGTGGGAGAAGAACATTTGGTGGCAATGAGCTGTTGGGATTGCTTTACCTTGTCTCATGGAATTGTACCCTCACTGTCCCAAGTGAGAGCAGCTCCACAGCCAAATGCAAATATTGGCACAGACAACATGACCTCAGATAAGCCATAGGTGTTTTGCTGCTACAACTGGTTGCATCTGCTACAAACTCCCACCTAAAGACTGTGCCCAGCTCTATTTGAACTTGCTACATTCAGTGTTACACAGTCTTTTCTAGAAGCTCTGCGGGTGACAGCTTCACCTACCCAATGATGCTTTGCTGACAGATGAGCACTCCTGATGTGTTCGGAAGTGCAAGCATGGAGTGATGGGAACATGGCCAAATGCAAGGGAATACTGATTTATGCACTCACTCTTTTTGTATTAATGGGTACGGTTAAACTGTATGTGACAACTTTTACATAAGGGGTGACTCATGCACAGWCATGCTCTATTCTCTGCTAGGGCAACATTCATTACACTGCTAACAGAACTCAGTCTTTTTAGCAAGCCAGTAGACCTACTTGGAGATACAAGTCAATTGTGAAAAAGGCAGTATTAGAGATGAATTCAAATAAACTGCAGAAAGGAGAGCTTAAGCAAACATAGAAGTTATATTCAAAATATTCAAAATCAATCAATATTTAATTCAATTCTTTACATTGCTGATCTCCTTGCTGGTAGCTGCTGGATCAGACCACTTGCACTTTTTTTGTTTTTCCTCAATCTGTCAGGTCTCTCAGGTTAAGTGAATCCTTATTTAAGTAAGTAGAGTGCCCACAGCAACACTATTCTAACCAACTTTGTAATGAAACCCCACTTCAGCCTTGTTTTTCAGCATTGCAAATACCTTCTTTCTTCTTTTTGTTACACTGCACTAAAAGTAACTGTTCTACAACCCATGTGAACGTGCATCCGAGCCTTTATGAGCTTCCTGAACTGTGAACTCACCTGTTACAGAAGTGGAAGAAGTCTTAGACGTGGTCACCACGGTGATGTTGGTTTGTGGCAGTGTGACTGGTGAGGCTGTGGTGGGCGTTACTGTGGGGCTGGTTTTGGTGGMCTGAGTCGTCAGGGTCACAGGCACAGCGGTGGTGTTGGCCTGACTGCTACTGGTCAGATGAGCAGTACTGGTGGGTGCACCTGGGAAATTCACATTTGTGATGCCACACAGTAAAATACATGAACCTAATCAACTGCATACTCATTGTGTAAGACAGCATTTATCATGCCCAAACAGAATGACAGAGTGACAATGAAAATGCTAATGCACAGTATCCAGGCTTGCATACAGACTTTCCTTGGGAAGACCTAACTTCTGATTTCTGGGCCTCAAAGTCAAGACTTCTGTAAAAGAAAGGCTGTAAAGCAAGCAGCCTTTGATGTTTTGATATGATATGATGATTTTTAGATGAGTCAGCTTTTTAATGTTTTGGTAACACTACCCAATTCCACAGAATTATGCCTATCGTATAATATGTTGAAATGCTGAATCAAGAGTTACTTTCCATTTGAAGCACTTACTTTTTCAGACAACACAACTTTTCGGATAAGAACAATTATTTGTTTTTTCATTAAAACGATCCCCGCCCCCACCCCCTCTTTTAGTAATGATCTAGTCTTTCACTTGTTTTTGAATGAAACATAGGTTCCATATACATTCCATATACATTAAAATTTACCACAGAGAATTCTGCATTTATGTGACACTTAAGTGTCTTGCCAAGGTTAAAACAAAGATTGGAATGCTGTCTCACAAGTTTAATTGACATGTAGTGTCTTTGCTTTTACCTAACATTTCCCTTTCCCTCCTCAGAAAACACTAATGAACTACTCAGAATAAAAATACCAGGACAAAAAACTCAAGAATAATAGAAATTTATATTTTCAGCAAAATCCTTAGAACCTTAGTGGAAGGCAGCCAGATAGAATGATTGTAAAACAATTGCTTGTTTTTCTAAGAATAAGAAACATGAGTCTAGTCGTGAAACTAACATTTCTCTAGGCACACAGTATGATGCAAATTGCTTTTATGTATGAAGGAATTTAAGAGAGAAACAGATCCTTTGCAGTTATCTACTTCGGCATTATTTCTATAGCCTTACACAAGCTGGGCTCATTTTAAACACCAGTATGGACATTCAAACAACTATCTAATCGTCTAAAATTAGAATAACTGAAGAATAGATAGTTTCATCTCAATTCCAGAGTAACTTTAATATTCAATTTCTGCTTTTCTTTAATACAGCATCTAAAATGCTTCTGTAGAATACCCTTGTGTGAAACATGAAGAACTACATACAGACTACACACAATCGTTGCTAAGACTCAAATATCACAGCTTCCAGTACTGATATGAACATCAAAAACTTAATAAAACTCAACAATATAACAATGTAAACATTCAGAAAGGAACTAGCCTACACAACACTTCTGAGACATTTAGCACTAAAACTACCAAAATATCAAAATACAGTTACCATTGTAAATTTATTTGTTTTCCTGTTCTTTAATGTTATAATTGTATTGTGCCATAACACCAGGAAACACTTTGAAATGAGCATTCATTGAGGTGGAACAATTGGAATATTATATTCATTTGCTTACCTTGTTACAATTAGGAAATTCAGTTCCTCTATGAAGCATGCGTAAAATACATCAGATAAAATTCAGGGCACAATTTAATAYTGACACATAAAACTCCCCAAAGGCACAGTGAACCACCAAATGGTTTGTCATTGTAGGAAGCAAGCAAAGAAATGTCTACATGGAAACCATCTACAGTTACATGACATGAAACCACACCTGCTAACTACATTCCTAACAGAAGTGATAACAAAGAAGGACAAATCTGAATGCAAGTACCAAGCAATTTTCTGTGGGTTGTTTTTGAGGCAGGATTTCTGAGTGTCAAAGCGCCTTCTGTTTCTGAGCAATACAACAGCTAATTGTTAGATGTGTAACATTATGAAACTACGTTACACAAAGTTGGTACTCATTCCATGGGTATTAAACTGCCCTACAGAAAACCTGAGTCATGACAAGAAAAAAATCCAAATATCAGTGAGGAATTTCAGCACATTTGCAAATTACTCTTCCCCCCTCTCCTTTCAAGTAGTAATCCTTTATTTTTTTACTTAACCAGAAGTACAGCCCATGATGATGTACCTTGAACAGTAAAATCTGTCTAATCTCTAGACCTGTCTTTCATGATGTATTTAGCATTGACCATTTCATAACATCAGCAGGAAGCTCTMTGAGGCAGCTAAAGAACTGGGGAAGCTAAAATGAATGAGGCACGAATCTGTTGTTCTGTCTTTGAAAAATCTTACCTGTACTATTTTACAAACAGAATGAAGATGAAAGAGTATTTGTTAGTAACATGTGTCCTTTTATCTTTTATTTCCCTAATTACTTTCCCCCCAAAAGAACAGCTGGGCATCACTGAACACTACAATAAACAAACCTTGACTGCCTGAGTGAATTTTTATTATTTAAAAAGGATGCATGCCAGTAATATAGTTCAGGTTTATGATGCTTTGTTTTTAAAAGAGACAAGTATTTTACATAGCATCAAATAGCTATGCTACATCCATCAATAAATTAAAATATTTATACAGCAGATAGGTAAGAATTCTTAGCAGCACGTGCTACTACTCCCTTAGTGTTCTAACTCAACAAGAATGAGCTCAAACTGCATAAACACTGTGCCAACATACAAGATTATTATGGAATGCCCTTCCTAAAATACTYTCCCTTGCATGGAAAATGATTGAATGAAACAAACTTGTGCTTCCCGCACCAAGAGCTTCCTTTCTCCCACACCCTCCAAAAAAACCAATGGCAGAGATTTTAAAGTTAAGTACATATACCCAGTAGACTTTATTCTGAAGAGGTTGAGACAGATAATCAAAACAGATGAACACTATTCAAATCTATGATGTTTCTAACGGGGAAAAAAAGAGAAGGACTGGAATCACCTTTTGAAGCAAGGCACAGCTATATGTGAGCTTTATGCTGTGCCTAACAGTAAAGGACTCAGGCCTCTTTTTACTGTTATTATCCAAAACTAGTAAAATGCAGACCTCTCCAAGAAATCTGCAAGGGCTGGAGAAGAAGTCAGAAGGAGCACAGGGTAGATGAAACACTGTGGTTAACAATGGCTTTACACACTTAGGGGAAGGCCACAAGGCAGCAATGAGATGACAGAAATCTCTGGACTTCCCAAGTTAGACGTGCTCAAACTGCTACACTGCAGGCCATGGAATGAGACACTGCACCACTTGCTTGCTATCAAAACGAAGGTCTTCGCAAAGGTGGGGTTTTTTTTTTAACTCCTGGTGAGCATTTTATACTTAAATGAAAARGCAAGCCACTTCTAAGTGTGGTAGCTCATCTGGAAATTACAGAGACAAAAAATAAGAGGTGTACTAGAAAAGAAATGACATAGCTGGGACTTTTTGATCAGTATAAAACTCCACAAATACACAAAGTGTCTCTGGCAGACACAATATTTCTGCCCTGCTTTCACATGGCTCTTAGCACAAAGGGGACCCAGTTTCTAGAACTAGCTTCTCTCAGATGCAATCTTTCATCTGCGTACCACAGCCTCAACTGCATGACAAAAACTCTTATCCAGCCTGTACTAATGCAGTGAAATCTGCCTGTCCAAGTTCTTCGAGAAGATTAATTTTTTAATTCCCTCTTTTAATAATCTCACACTGACATTGCCAACAGTTGGAACACTGCAAATGTAAGTGGATGAACTGTTTGTGTCTCAKGCTAAATACCTGTTTCCAAACTGTAACAGTTGATCCAATACAGCTATTTCTTCTTTCTACAAAGGTGTCCTCTATTACCATGTTGCCTATGTTGGAGCATCATGAATGAAACACTGCTGCCTTGGGCAGTAATTTTTATTTATAGTTGTTTTGCCAGGTTGTGAAGGAAACATGGCAGTGCCAGAACAATGCAGAAATACCCATAACAAATTGTTCCATTTCATTGATACTGGCTTAAATGGAGCTGTGTTGTTCTATGAGCTTCCCAAGGATTATTTTCTATGGTATTAAGTGCCATGAGGTTGTAGTGAGTTGGGGGTCAGTCTCTTCTGCCATGTCTCAAACGAAAGGACAAGAATAAGCTGCCTCATGTTGTGCCAGGGGGTATTAGAAAAAAATTTCACTGAAAGAGTGGTTAGGCATTGGAATAAGTTGCCCAGCGAGATGGTGGAGTCACTGTCTCTGGAAAGTGTACAAGAGAAGCCTGCATATGGCACTTGGGGATATGGCTTAGGGGTGACTCTGGTGGTGCTACATTGACAGTTGGACTAGATGATCACAAAGGTCTGCTGCAAYCTTGATGATCCTCTGATTCTATGAGTCTTATGTCAAAGGACATGGAGTCCTATTCTTGAAACTGAAGCTCCCTGTTTTTTATACCCTACATCTGTTTATGGTGCAATAACATTAAACAGCCATGCACTGTTTGMACAACAATCTATTTATCTTTACTTCACGAAAATGGAAGAGGTTTGCCTAAAGACAAAGAGTAAACATTAAAAAAAAACCAACTTCTTTCAATTCTCCCTTGAAGTTTTATTTTAATTCCTGTGCTTAAATGGCATCACAAATGTAATTAYTGATGAAGTATGGGACCTAAACTTGAAAAACAATATAGCTTCTTTTCAGAGTTGTTTTACATGTTTGRGGCTTCCCTGCCCTAAAATGTTAACACCTGCCTCAAATAGCCAATTTTGATGGCCTGTTCTTTAGAATTGATGGTATGATCAGGGTTAGGTTTGGAGCTAACTTCTAGGTTCACAGTAATGGACAGATGAACAGATACATACCTCCTGTAGACGTTGCTGTAGATTGTGTGGATGATGCAATGACACTGGATGAACTGCTATTGTCTTCAAGGAAAAAAAAAGACAAAACAAGAAAATCAACATTATTAATTTTTAATTTTAACATACTATAATTAAAATGCCCACTACTCTCCAAAGGGTATCTGTGTTTTGAGATTAAAACTGGGAATACAGCAGAGAATAGCCAATCCCAAAGCAGATGTTTTTTATCCCTCTGCAAAATGCTTCCAACTCTCAGTGCAGCAAGAACAATTACACTGAACGCACAGCAGTGCCCAAATGGTCTGCAACTGAATTCTTTACACGTYCTCTGTTTGTTCTCTTCCACTTCTATGTCATGTTTCATTCCACTTGTGGTGTAAAGCCACACTGTCACCAACTTCCTTAATCTACTTAAGAACTATGTGGGGGGTGTAGTTTTTATTCCTCTATTTCAGTCCCTTGATCTTTTTAATTTTGCTGCAAACTGGGATGATACTGTGAAACATCCTTCTGTGTACTTATGTGCTCTACACAAAAAGGATCCTAAGAATGTACCTGTTTCCAGACATAAAATGCAAACCAGTCTTAGTGGTTTTGTCTTTCTCTCCTCTGTTTCACTTCTACTTTTGCAGTTCTTTTTCTTTCTCCCTTTCTCCTTCCTCTTCACATTACTTTTAGGTTTCTCAGGGACACTCCCACTCTCACTTCTGTCCACATTGCTGCATCCCTCTTCTATATTTCTTATAGATTAAGYGTCTCTTCCTCCTGGCCAAGATCTGCGGGGCTGTTCCTGGGAGGATCACTGCCCATACCTTCCTCCCTTCATTCTGCATTGCTGTGAATGTCCATTCTATGATCGTTCTTTTCTCTGAAGTCAGTGATCTTTAACAGCACCCTCCCACATTGGTAGAGCTATATGCCATGCAGCAGCACTGCTGCATTTCAGTATGGCTGCAAAACAAAGCACATAACCTCAGAGATTAAGAGGAGAGCAACACAGCCACTGCAATCAAGAAGCAGATGCATATCTATTTCCTTAGAATGGGGAAAGTCTAGTCTGAAACTCTTTGCAATTGCACACATGCTATATGCAAACTCAGGTTAAGAACAAATGCACCRACTTTATGTCTTCATACCACCTAACAAAAAATGGGGAGGGGGGCTAAAATTACAGAAGGAATTACTTTGCTTTTTCTTTAATATAATCACAGCTGACTAGCCCCCCACACTGTGTACTGCACACTCAACCCTTATACTGACATAACTGGGACATTAAGTTGCAGATTTAATTGCCTTTGAGAAAGGGTCTATGATTGTACAATTACAAACACATTCTTTCTTGGATATGTTGACTTTTATCCCAGCTTAAGCCATGGATATGCCTGGGGTTAAATCTTTTCCACACAGGCCCAATACTGTAACCAGAACACATCTTTGCATTTTCACCAGGTTCTAAGYGCTTACTTCTGCAACCCTGGGACAACTCTGAATGTGGACTGCATGTTCATACAGGTAAAAAGAAGCCACATATACTGCCTGGAATTTGGGTGTGAGTCAGTACTGCAATTAACACAAGATGGAGTGAGTCAATGAGCACAGTATTGTTGGCCAACAGCAAATGAGATGAGCCAAGTAGTACAGGGCAGAAATTACTCAAGTGAAAAATGACTTGCCTTTATCTGAAGATCACTGAAGTCTAACCTAGCAGACTTCTTGGTTTTCCTTTTAACTGTATATTGATGTTGGCAGGTGTTTCTAGTTCTATACACAAAATGTTCCCATTTTATTTTTCCTCTCTCTGTTGCTCTGGGATACCCAAGAATATGAGAATTGAGTTGTGTTCTGCTGTTCCYCTTAAATATCTTTAGTTGTCCCAGAATGGATGTGAGGGAGTACCTCCCTCCTGCCATACAGCTGCTCACAATTCAATAAAATAAAGWAAACGGCAATTTTTTACAGGATAGTTTAAAGCACACAAAAATACATACTACTTTTCTTGATGTTACTGAGGAACAGCAAAAGAAATGCCAAAAATATTACCTGGAGACCCATTGCCTGGAATCAGAGTAAGGGGTGTGGTGCTGTTTGTGGCTTCATTTCCTACATTAAAAGAAAAAAAAAAAAACAAAACAGGAATAATAAGATAGATTTAGGTGGAAGAAGGAAAAAAAAAGAAGTACAGCATCTGCCACTTGCTTTGGGCATATGAATGACTGATTTATCATGGACAGGAGTTAGTTATAATGATGATATAAAAGCATGKTAGCACAACGCCTGCTCTGAGCACATTTAAAGTGGCAACATTTATACTCCAAACCACCAAATGAACTGGAACTCCTCCCATCCTCTGCTTTATCTTCCCCATCATCCCCATGCCAAGTTTTCATCTTCCTTGAGATGAAACGAAACCAAAAGAGGCAAAAAATCAGGCACTTTCCTTCAGTAACAACATCTGACCTGCGTCACCTACAGCAGAAGAGAAAAAGCTTTTCACTTAAATCTTTTCTTGTGAAGTYTGCCAGGCCTTTGCAGGTGCTTGCTCTGGCCTTACACAGACAACATGACAAAACAATTAGCTCCACTAAGAAGTTGCATTRCTCAGTCTGGGACTGAGGGCACGTTAATTGCATCCAGTGAGCCTTTGGCAGGTAGGGAATGGGACTGAAAAGGATCACACCTCCAAAGAAGTGGCAAAATTTAAAGATCAAGAACAGAGTGGCATTCACATGCATCCGAGAGCACCAGTTGAGGATTCTGCCTTTGCCAAGCAGAGTTTAGTTGTGATCAGCTAATATCATACRAAAGACAAGGAAATAACCTGAACTGAGTATTGCAGAAACACGGCATTTTCTCAGCAGTTACAAAACTTTAGTCAAAGTCTCAAAACGGTAAAGACTGCAAATACAAAYGGCAAAATAACTCCTTSTATCTCACCCCTGCAATACCAAGACTGAGGACAGCACTGCAAGATATGCTAGGCTGTTCAATTAGGGAGCTTAAGGATAACAAAGGATGGGACACTGCTAAACTAAGCTTCCCTAGAGAGGACCCAATCCTGCAAAAACTGGTCTACACCACAGCAAGCTCCCCCACATTAAACAATGATCTGATTGAGAAAGCTATGCCAACACAAAACTAACAGCACACAATTTTTTTTCTGCACAGAAACTTTTTAACCAGCAGAAGGGGCTCTCTATATAGTTTGATGAAAGTAAGGGGCAGGAAATAGAGGTGGAAGCAAAACCAGGACTCTGATAGTTTTGTTCAGATCACTTTGGACTGCACACATTGGAAGATGTCGAGGACCTTATTCAGCTTAAAAAATATAACTTTTAATTTTYCCTTCTTTAAAAAATCCAAACATTGGTCAATTTCTTAACCTGAATAACACGCATTTGCTCCAGAACAAACATTCCTAAAGTGGGATTTTGCATAAACATATGCCACACTGGAACATGTGGCAGTGAACGGCACAGGGGAGATAAAAGAAAATCTCAATATGATACTATTCCCAAAGTGTTCTCCATCCTGAGACTGTGGCTTTGAATTTGAAGGAGACTTCAAACAGGAAGGCAGGAAGGAGTCCTGGGTTAAGCAAAGGGAAAAGCATCACAGCTTTTATGCAGTGATATCTCGGACAGTAGAGACTCTCATTGGGCATCACAGTCTCAAAGCAAAGCAGGGAGAAGTTCTGGCCTTCTCCAGGAAGCAGAAAGGCAAGGGTTAGAAATGCACACTGACCCAGGTGTAGACACAGACAGGTTAGTACAGGAAGGAAAGGGTAGAGAGCCAGCAGCATCCTGTGTACAAACTGAGACAGAGTTCTTGGGGCCACAGCATCAGCTGCAAGATTGGGCCTATGAATCTTTAGCAGAGAAAGAAACTCCGCGCTGAGGCTTACTCTCCCCGTGACCCAGAAGAGAAGGGAAGTAAAGAAAGGATTTCTTGTTTTCATTTTTCGTGATGAAATGGAACCAACACAAGGATATACCCAACTGAGAACTGTATTAGAGCACCACATACTGGAAAAGCAAAGGGACATCATTTATCAGACAACCCTGTTTTGCTCTGTTTAAGGTCGGGTGTAGATGCAGCTAAAAACCCACAAAACTGCCTGGCTGGAGTGTAGCTGAACACAAGCGTGCTTCCTGCAAAAGCCCATGTGAGAGTCTGGCATTTCGAGTGCTTTCAGGGCCTCTTGTGGTTTTGGTGCTCTAGTGTGTCAAAAGTCATGASATGGAGGCAATTTGGAGAAGCAAATTTTCAAAAGGGCAAAATAAGTCCAGTTCTTCCAGCTTTATAGCTGGAATTGGGCTTTCCAAAGTGGCAGAGACTGAAGATTTATGTCATACAAAAATATATCCAGGGTGAGTGACAGAGAGAGCTTTGAAACTTTCTGAAAATGGAGAGGATGTTAAATGGACTTGATTTTCCCAGATCCTGCAAAAATCAACACAGTGGRTACCATTCATGTTTGGAATCTGTAGTCTCCAGCCCAGACACATACCGAATTACTATTTTCCAGAGATGAACCCKGGTAGAAGAACTCTACACAAATGAGTGGTAATACTCGTTCAACTCCCTGCATGTGACAAAGGTCAGTTTGCTCACTTCAACCTTCACATAAAAGACAGACACATTTCTAAGGACTCACACACTTTATGTCTTATGCTGCAGGAAGATGTTGGTATTCAAGCTCTCATTTTTAGTAAGCACAGCTTTACATATTCAGTTTGGGGACACTTCAAAAGTCATACACAAAATCCTCTCTCTGCATTTTATCTTTTCAAGCTTGATGCCTAGCAGGCACAGAGGGGCGTTTTATGCCCAAATCATTCTGCTTTTGCTGTTTTAAAATCCCAGAAGTAGAGAAGCACTGACAATGTGCGGTCCATCAGAAAGATCACCCACTTGCTTAATAATCTCTAAGCAATCCAGATGAGTARCAGTTGATATGTTGGTATAGTTAAAGCAGAGATGTTAGAGCAGCAACACGAATATAACTATCTCATAGACATTCTCCATCATCACCATACTCASTCCTTTCAGCTGAAATCAATAAAAGTAAAATTCTGGAGATTGAAATTAAAGCAAACCCCTGACCTCAAATTTATTGTAACACCTGCCAAGCAATTCTGATAAACTATAAATTCAAATCCCTGCTTTCTGGAACCTTCATTTTCCTTTTGATTCAACAAGGTGTTTGGGTGTCTGTTTTTGACCTGATGTGCTTGACCTACCAAGAAAGTAGGTCATCATGAGAGAGAGGTCAGGCAGGATTATTTCAGCAATGTCTTGGATGKGTCCTCATGTCTTACCATTAAACTACTCCAGTCTGGCTAAGGAAAGCATAAACACCATTGCACAGATGGAAACAACACCAACCACGTAACCAATTCTCATCGCCCATCAATCAGAGACTGAAAAACTTCATCACCTTTTGCTGCCATCTTTGCCATCTTGGAAGATGTTATCTTWTCTCAACACAGCAGGAAGGGGGTGGGGGCCACTTCCTGATAGGGAGAGAGGATTTTCTTTACTCAAGTACCAGGAAGCCAGCTGGATTTTACATAATAGTGGGAAGGTTTTTTTCTAAACCGCATTATTTTGTTGACGTTTCTTCCACTGACTTGACTGACACTGTCAGTCAGYTGACACAAGTCAATTTTATTTACAGAAATAAACTRTCCAGCAGAGTAAAAGGGCAGCATTATATGGAAATAACCAGTMAGCCCAAAATCCTTAACTGGAATGAGGATACATCTACTGCTACTTTCACTTTCTGCATATCACAGCATTTGATGGGGTTCACACTTCCTCCTGTAGTGTTGWTTAGATAAACACAAAGTTCTGCTGAAATTAACACAAATCTCAGCAGTACCTTCTGGAAGTTTCCAAGTGGACAGAGGGGAAAACAAAAAAGCTATTTCAAAAGACACTGTGCTCTTAAAAGAGCACAACTTCTCTCACCACATCCCAACTAGCTCTAGACAACCAATTCATACATATAGGAAGGACTACATTCRAATGTCAGAAGTTAGATGAGATTCCCCCTGCCCCAGGAGACAGCACTGACTGTACACTGAGTAAAAGCAGCAGATGCATTCAGGAAGCAGCACGATAGAAGATAGATCAGTGCAATCTTACATCGCATGAAATGATAGTCTATCGTTGTTAAATGGAAGCCATATGATTTTAGCAATGCAATAAACCTATAAATACCTATAAACTCCTTTTAAAAATATTGGCCTTTTTTTTTTTTAAAAAAAAAAGGACAGTTACAAAACCGTTTACATTCCTCATTCTACTTTTTTTTGGTATCAATTTATATTACAACTTCATCAGATGAAACAACAGCATATAAACACTATTGGAGTGACTGGGATTCCTCAACAGTATTCACAGCAGGTTGACTGCGGTACCCATCACCTTTCGGTTTCTTTAGTTTGGAAAACTGTAGGGCATTGTAGGGGGGCACTTCAGTCTTCTGRAAAGGCAACTCCGGCAGCTCAGATATGTATATTTWTCACTTTTTTCAGTGCCTGTGAACGCTGATCCCCTGAGTGCGGTGTTCTGAGCGCGGGCACGCGGCTGGGCATTTGCCAGAACGAGCCACTACAAAGGAGCACTGCTGCGAGCGCCTGACAGAACGGCGACAAAGCACAGCGTGTGTCCCACCGCGCCGCCACCACCAAACGCCCCTCGCCCCAAGTGCCCAGAGAGCGGCACCCAGAGGGGCAGGGAGCGGCCCTTCCYAGCCCGGCCCTGGCGGGGCAGCGCAGCCCCGGGCTCCCCCGGTACCCCACACTGCCGGGGGGACGTGGGTCCCGGGACACTGCAGGGGCGGAGCCGGCCGGGCGGGCCCGCGCATCCCTCCGGGCGTGAGCACCCCAACCTCAAACCGGGGCTTCTTCCGTAATTGTTGTTTCCACTTAACTAACATCCCGGACATTAACCCCTCCTCCCCGTTTCTGTCAGCTCCCGGGCGAGCCGGCCATGAGACCTCGCATCCCGCTCGGGAGCGCAGCGCCAGCGACCGCCGTTCCGTCCCGCCCCACCGCGCAGCGTCCCGGGGCACTGAGGGGCAGCCAGGGCGCAGCCCCGGCCCCATTCCGGAACGAGGCCGGGGTGGGCCCGGCGGAGCTGTGGCGGCAGCCGCCAGGCAGAGCGGCTGCGAGGGGCGCAGCACCAGCGCCTCCGCCCCCCGGCCCAGCCCGGCCCGGCCCGGCCCGTCCCCCGCGGGCGCTACTCACGGGAGCCGCGGGCGAGCAGGAGCAGCAGCAGGGTCCGCAGGGCGCAGGACGCGCCGCCGAGGAGCCGCATGGCCGCGGAGGGGCCGCCCGAGCTGGCCGGGCGCGGTCTGCCCGCTGCGRGCGAGGGGCGGGCCGGGGCGGGGCCGCGGGGCGGGGATGGGCCGGGGATGGGCACGGCGATGTGGGATCCGCTTGCTCCCCTCTCACGCTGTTTTCCGGCACGCTGGGCGGTGAAGTGCAACGGTACCCGTAAGGAGGGACTGGTAAACGGAGAGATGTCCGTGCTCCACCAGGTGCCACAGAGGAGACATCCGACTGGTGCTCTGCCGGTCTGTGAGCACCTGTGGCAACAGAGCCGAGCTCCAGGAGCGCCGCCCGCGTACAGCGCTCACGGCCGATGATGCCAGGCGGTCTGTTCTCCACATAACATTGAACATCTCCCAGCAGAGCCTCAGCTGCGTGGATTTATCCTCCTTGTTARTAACATCGTCCTTACCAACAGCTGGGCTCACTGCGCACACCTTCCCGAAGTATCGCTGCTCAGTCCGTGTGCATGCTGCTGGCTGTCACAGCCTCTGGTTGTTGTAGGCTCCTCAGTCACAAGCGCTAACGCTGCAGAGGCATCATGAAATCTGATGTTCCTAGCAAGTTGTGAAACCAGCCGCAGGGGTGATAGGGAAAAGTGAGAGGAACAACCATCTTCATTCAGCTTTTTCAGATTTTCCATGGATACGTCTAACATCAAATTGGTGTTGGGTATTTTTCAAGTGGAGTCTGTTAATGTGTTCTTAAGAATGAAAATAACTTAAAAAATATTTATCAAAGGAAAGAAAACTACACGTTGATACAAATTGCTTTCTAATAAGTTAGAGAAAACTACTTTAATGTGGATAATTATGGATCAGCAGCAAAGCTGCAGTAGAATATTTCACTACATTCATGCTCACTGCAGCACAACGGTGTTCCCATGTTAAGCCACATATCTGAGCCAGAGGGGGTGAAGTGCCTTGCCCGAGAGCTCACAGGCAGGCACTGGAACTGTACTCAGGTACTGTATCAAACCTAGGTCCCTTCCATACTGACAGACATGCATTTCCTCTGTAAAGTCTTAGCAAACGAGTGGTGAACTAAAATGGTGAATAAATACTTTATTATTTTTAAATTCTGGCCTAATTAGGCCYCACAGTTTGCATTCACTGAAAATAGGCGCATGCATTATACTTCGAGCATTTTCTATGCCTTTGTGCTGCAGAGCTTCCTGTGTGGTTTTCATAACTAAGGTACCCGAGGATCAGTATGCACCTTTTTATTGTGAACTTTCTGAGATCCTCCAAAGCTTTTTATGACAGCTGTAGGAATAGTATCTTCAGCTAACCTAATTCCAAAAAAACTTAGAAATACTAGTAATCCATATGTTACTAAGTATAAGGGCCTCTGATTGCAGAAGCAAAGATTTTAGTGAGAAAAAAAAGGTATTTTATTAAACTAACACATATTTAGAGGACATATCTCTCTAAATATCTGTACCTTTAACATATCTAAGTCTTTCAGCTCTTGCATAACCCCAGTGAACATCAGGCCTAACCAGACTGGAAGCAATTTATTTGGGAACATACTAATTAACATTGCTCAACTTGTGTACCTGCAGGAAAAGAGTAGTTAGGATACATGGAACAAAGAGCGGTCACAGGGTTGTGGGAGATGGGTGTGCAGCTAACCCAGAAGTGATTAGTTAGCAGGCACTGAGGCACATTGCRCAATTGTGCAGGCTCTTTGCTGTGTAAAGGCAGAGGTGTTGGAAGTTCTTGTGTTGATTGCTTTGTTGTGGTCTTGTTTCATTTGGTGTTTGCTGTTCTGGGGGAGGTGAATTTCTGGGAATGTATTGGGGTGGCTGGAAGTTGTCCCTACACTGAGAAGGAAACAGTCTAGGAAAATTTAGTGGGAGTTATCATCCACTTTTGGTACATGGTGTAAATAATGATTTCCCATATAGATTCTATAGATTCCCACATAAAGATAAGATTGATGAGAGGACTTTCCCCCCCAGTTTTATGTGATATCTCGTGAGTGGTGAGAATGGGTGCTGAGGGTAACCACAGGAGCTCACCTGGTGCAGTTCCACAGGACCTGAGCAGGGCAGGGTGGTGGTAGTCACAATGCCCACCAGCAGCCTCAGACAAGGTGATGAGCCTGATCCAGGGAGTCCACTTGGGAAGGAACAGCAGGAAAGGGCTTAGAAAAAAGGCTGTGTCATAAGTCCAATGTAATTCCAGTGGGCATGATATAAGACTGGCACCCTTGTCCATCTGGAGTCCCTGTAGCAATACCAGTCTCTACAGCAGCATAGCTGGGGACAAGTAAAGCTATGCTGCAGCTCAGGGAGGGCCTGAACGCTCAGGCAGGAGCTGAAATAGAGCTGCTGGATGAATGAGCATAGACACATGGATGGAGGTCACAGGTGAGCTTGGTCAGGGCTTGTTATTGCCAGTTAGGGCTTGCCAGAGCACTCTGAGCCCTGACAGGAACTGCCTGAAGGCAGTTCTTTCTGAGGTACAATGTGACCTCTTAGAGGAATGTCCTTGATTTGTAAGTTGTTCTTATGTTGTTGAGGGAGATGGTAACTGCTGGGACATTCACACAAGGRTTACAGGATTGAAGCCTCACGATAGAATTGTCAAAATCCATGAATCCTAAACATAAGYGTCTCAGATCCATTTTATCCATGGGATGTTAAAATGGCTTTGGGGAGATGGTGAAGGTGAAACCAAACAGGTCCAGCATAAGGTTAASTCACAAGGACAATCAATGAAAAACCAGAAACACCCAGCTGAGAGAAGGAAAACTATTTTTGTTCACATGTGAAACCTGATCCTCAGCAAAGACCAATAAAGGCAAACCTGGGAGCCCAAAGTACCAATTCCAGTCAGTGTTCRAAACCAAGTGTGGACTTGGTATTTGCTCAGTAAAAGTTTAATGAGCACTGTAGTTTTCTATACATCTCATCAGTTAGTTCCCCATTGTTCCATGGAATTTCACTTCTGTAACCTGTCATCTCTCCTAGCTGTCATGCTTGATGAGCTGTCTTTCTTAAGAAACATTTATTTAGATTACCACCAGAGCAGTCACTCCCAGCCCTGTACTTAGTTTGATGTCTACACATCCCACTCTCTACACATCCCACTTTTAAATTAGTTTTTATTCTCCTCTCCAAAATGCKTTATTCCAAATGTAATAGATGACATCATGCTTTACAGATCATGTCATTTTTATATTCTTAGATAACAGAGTTAGAACAACACTGCTAGCTTACASCAAAGTTTTTCAATCAGGAAAAGGCAGGAACATGCAACATGTTTTGCTCAAATACTAGAAAGGGCAGCTTTAATCCTTGCTTCTTGGCAATGCAAAGTTAACACTTGAACTGTGTGGAAGGAGAGATAAGAACACAGGTTAACCAAAGTGTCAATCTCCTTAATCCAAGGTATTAGCAAGTCTGGGTTTCTTCACACATTTTTTTAAAAACAGTAAGGAATTAAGTTCTAAATTACATTGGCACGACCAGGATTAGTCATATTTTGTTATGAATCAGTGCCCGCATCAGGCATCAGCACCTTACTGTGTCCATTGCTAAAACTATAGTGACTTTCTTAACAATCTGTTGGTTTGCCTTTGCATTATTACAATKTAATCAGTTCAAAAGAGCCTGAGCCCTAATTGTGGCCTTTGCAGRTCATGCATGACTGCTGGTGTTGCAAGGAGTGTTTAGCTCTCTTGTATTTTTCCTGGGGCTGGGGCTGGCTTGTGCTCACTAACTTTTAAAAATTTTTTGTTTCTTCTCTTGAGTTGGAAAGGAGGAAGATCCAAGTGCTCTGCTTGTTTCCATTTCACATTCATCCGTGCCTTTTAATGAACGTATTGCTGTGTTAACTTTTGTGAAAAAAATGTTCCAGAGTTAAGAATGATCTGAAATAAAAGCTCCATTTAAAGAGATGCTAGTCCCAGAGACACTAATCTGATCTCATTAATAACCTACTAGAAAATGAATGACATGAAGGCCATTTACTGAATTAAAAAAAAAGAGACAGATGATCTGATTAGCAGTCTCTTTTATTCAGATATATCTATTATTATTTTTATTCATATTAAAATAAAAATAATCGTAGAAAGGCAGCAAATTAGATTCAACTAAGCAGGAATTAAAAGACTTCTGTGCCAGCTCTCATGACATAAACCCCTGCAGAGACACTTGAGCCATAAAAAATTATCTTACATGCCTTGTCAAAATTTAGATTGTACCCTGACTTTGGGAAGTTACCAAGATATTTATGAGATACCAGAAGGGTCGTGTTGTCATTGACTTCAATTTATGAGTTTCTGAGAATTGGAGGAGGGTTAAAACCTATATAATGAAATTTTTTTGRGGAAAAGTCATTAGTAATAAAATCTGCCCTGGATTTCATGCACAATATGGTAATATTGCAATTAATAAATCCAGAATAGCAGCTGTGTGCATCTCCAGATGAATCTATAGGGAAATTCATATCAAGGGGATGTTTTCTAGGAGAAAAAATGTGAGACAGTGAAATGTTTCCCTTTAGCAGCCTGAAGTGAACATTTACAGAGAGAGAAAAGAACATCTCTGGACTTGGAAAGAAATGACCCCGTCCTGAGTTCTGCATGGAGCTCATGTGCCACAGGCTGAACTCTGTCTCCTGCCTCGTGCCACTGACCCAAGGACATTGCTCTCACCATAGACACTGCCACCATTCTGCTCACTGTGACACGGCCACCACAGCACTGGGGGAGCCAGGGCTGACYGAAGACCCAGAAAGTCCCAAAATTTCCTTCAAAAACCAGCTACATTAAAACTCCACGCTTAAAGCACTCAAAAATTCCCCCATTGGGGTTTCCTCTGCCAAGCCTGGCTTGTTCCACCTGATCTTCACTCCCATCTATGTCTCTACTGTTCAGACTTCTCTTTTTCTATTTGAAAAGCATAACATATAGATATATAATTTTTTTGCATGACCAATACATTGTTCACAGTACCATCTAATMAACTTGCTTTGCAGTCCTTTGGCTTCCTTTAAAAGGGTTTGCTGATTACTAAAAGATGTAATGGTTTTTAT